ACCCATTGTGTCCTGTGCAGAGCTGGACTTCTAACCCAGTGACTCAGAGCTACAGCAAACTCTGCTCAGGCCCCTTTGAGCTCTAGGAAGTTCCTTCTAATGTTTGCAACCTGCTCTCCCCTTCGGTTCCTCACACTGCCATGTGACCTACTCTCCCTTCCATGCAGCCACATAACCTGCTCTTCTGCAACTTCTCAACACTTCTCAATACCAGCTACCAGCACTGTTGTTCCTGGGCCTGCCACACCATGTATCTTCGCAAACTCCCCCTTCGAGAGGACTCAGCAGCTTCCCCATCAAAGGAATCTTTCTTTCCCTCTAGGGTCCCACTTCACTCAAGTCTCTTTAAGGAAGACCACTAAATTCTGAAGCAATTCATAAAGCAAACACCAAACAGCAAGCAAGGAATGACCAGTGACTTGTCCCCAGACACTGGAATTTGATCCTGAAATCAAAGGACTTTAAGTCCAGGAAACACAGTTTTCCCTGCAAGTTTCTCAGGTTTCACAGAGAAAACAAACAGAAAAGTTGGATGAGGTTTCTCAGAGGAAACTGAAGCAGTAAGCAGTTAGAAATTACACAAGATTTAAGCACCTAACTGCTTAGTCTCTATAAACGCCAGGACCATAATATTATTTAGTATACATAATAATATATATCTTCACAACATGTCTGGATCCATCTCCTCTTTTCTGAAAGAAAAGCTCCAAACCCACATAAAACTGAACGTGCACCCAAACCACATATTTCTAATCACACATGTTTGAGAAATTTAATTCTGATTAACTTAAATGACTTAAGATTACATATGTCTACAGTTCAATCGGAATAAGACCCTTTGGAACGTAATTAAGATCAGAAAGGAACTTTCCACTTTCTACCAGCAGAGAAGCCAGAAATCAGCTCCTGTACCAACACTCTGTTCAGGCACTTATGTGGCACGAGGTCATCTCATACTTTCAGGTGCCCCACGTAACAAAGCCGATTAGATACCATGCCATTATTGACATTTGCAGAGAAGTAAAGGATCAACAAGACCCTGCTCAGATGATTGCACCACGAGCATGGTGTGAACTTGTGAACTGGTGCCTTGTTTTACCCGCATCCAAGTTAATTGCAAAAAGGCCTACAAGTTGTTGAAGCGCACGAGAAGGATGTGAAGATCCTAACACGAAGCTTCACTGACACTGATAGATTTTACCATATGAAAAACATTGCCCGAGAACCATGGAGCCACTACTCATGGCATACTCCTTCCCTAAGCAAGTCTTAATTCCAGAGCAATAAAATTGCTCAAAATTGATTTGGTCTCTTGAAACTAACAATCAATTGACTGATACTCTCTTTATGCAATAGATTCATACCCACCCCTTGTTTCTTTGACCACTCACTGCACCTAAGCCTTAAGCAAATATATAGGCCACCTTCGCTTTTCTCATCATGCTTCCAGCATAAAAGAGAGAGCCTTGTGTTGCTACAGCTATACAAACATGCAGAAGAACACTGTTTACAAAGAAGAGCACCCATGCTTATCCACTTATCTAGGTATCTGTAGGCACTGGTTATACTAAGGCAAAGTTCAAAAGCTCATTAACATAATGGTTACAAAAACAGACAGCAAATCAATTTTTTTTTTTTTTGCAACACAATATTGTCTAATTTTACAGCCTTTAAAAAGTAATGATGGGTATGAGCTACTGAAGGAAGGAAATACCTTCTGCGGCTCAAAAAAAACCCCAAAGAACTATAGCTAATTTTGTTTTCAAATAACAAATTCAACCAATTACGTAAATACATAACCTAAAATTGACCTTCAATGGATTATTATGGATCCGAAATCTAGGATTCCTCCTCTCCGATTCCAAAATACTAATCATCTCAATTTTTGAAAATAAGTTTTACTTAGATTTTAAGGATTTACAGCCTTGACATACCATGATAAATATCCTGTAGAGAGCCACCTCCACAAAACTCCATGCAAATCCACAGCTTGTCTCGTCTAAAAAGTGAACAAAACCATTCATTAGCTGTCAGCTTTGAAAACAGTATCTACAAAAGATAAAGGTAAAAGACTCAAACACTATAAGGCACAACAATAAAAGCTCTGTATTCTGAAAAGCACAAGTCAAATAATTAATATGATTTAATCTTTATGCAATACTTCACTGTCAAAATAGTAACTAATGAAATACAAAAAATATTCCAGGGTTTACTGAAGTAATAGAAACAGTACTAGTGAAAAGCACGCACTGATTTTTGTTAAAGATCTACTATGAAAATGAAATACATTTTTACTGAAAGAGAAAAACAGATGTGAGTTCTTACTTCTTCCTCATTTTCACTTCTCCACATATTTCAGAGTGAAGGCATTAACACCAACCAAAAAAGAAAACCAAACCCAAAAATCTAAACCCAAACCAAAAAGCCCTAGGTACATCTCTAAACTCAATTTCTTTCAAAACAAATGGAGTAACACTCCAGTGTGTTCATCAAAGCTAGGCGGAATGGACCCCACACTGTGGATAAGAACCTTCTCACACCTATAGATATTTTTGATGGCAGGGGTCAGAGGGAAGCTATGCTGATTCCTCTTACTAAGGGTATCAATTCAGTTTGACTTACTGTACCTCTATAAAAGGCGCTTTCCAATAACAGACAACAAGCTGAAGTTCTGAGAGGTATCTTCTATTATAGACACTGAATTCTATTTTCACTTAGCCATTTTCACCAGTAAGACAGACATATCACACGTGACCACAGAAAGAACTTTGGACTTTCCTTTCCCTTCTGGCCATCATAACATACAGGAAAGAAGAATCACATACAAGCACCTTAGAGCAGACTGAGACACAGGACAACCAAAGGAGACACTGATGATTGTTCTGCAGCTTGCCCATGACCCCTGGTCTTAGGTTCCTTGCATTCACAGAATGCTGGGACATGGTTGCAGGCAATGCCAACATTCGTGGAACTGTTTTGCCAGGCAATGATCTAAGTGCCGAGCTTATCCCCTGAACTGCAAATTGCAAGTATTTCCCACCAGCAGGTAACAGCTATAATAGCGGTTGTTTCATGGAAGAACGGCCTTTCTTGGATCTCCTCACCTTTGATGTCCATAGTCCACATGGTGCTCAAAGCTACACACCGGCTGCTTCCTCTAGTGATGGGAAAGGTATTGTTCAGGCATTACAGAGGTTTTAAGCAACGGAGGTCCCTGGCTGTTAACTCCATACATTTCTAGGGATTAATTAAAGTATTGTTTGAAATAATATGAAGGCTTTCCACTGAAATAACTGATCAAAGTCAGACATAGAAGCAATGTGACTACCTGTGGAAGGAAACAGAATTAGCAACGATAGCTGGGGAACACGAGTGAGAAAGAAGCGCTGAAGAGACAGACGTCTACAAGTTCCTTGTTTATTCCCCACAACGATGCAAGACTCAGACAGGGACACTTTTGAGGGCACTGGGCTCATGAAAGCCACTCTTTC